TTACCCTGAAGTGCGAGAAATGGTTTGTGATAAACATGCAAATAGTGAACACGATTACCCTGACAATTGTGGCCATATTAACGGACCAAATTGCAACCGCATTGGCCACCCGTTCCGACTCTAACGCATTGTTTAGCACTAAAACGGCTTTCCTTTGCGTGATTAGTATATCGACAGTCGTGTCCATCATTTTCTTTATTATTGGCATTTATGGCACTTATAATCAAAATCATTGTCTGTTCATCACGTTTACAGGTACAGTGAGTAACGTATAAAAATTAACTTGCTTATTATTTTTAAGTTTTAAAAATATGGTTTCGGGTTTAAAATTTTAATTTAATCAAGGGTATTCCAAGTCAAAGAGTCAATAAATATAATGTATTTGATTTTAATAGATTAATTGAATAGTATCGGACATAGATTACAGTTTATTAAGTAACTTGTTCAATTAGATAAAATTCTTATTTGACTATTAGTAAATAGTAATAATTAAGTATACTTGTAATTATGCGATTAGTTATAAGTTATAACATATTTTGACAAAATATAAAATCATCATTTTAGTTCATAAAAAATTTTAATTATGAAGATGTGTTTGTCTTACATTTCCATAATTAACCCTAAATTTACTGGTTAACTATTTTCACATATCTTATGTATAAATTACAGTCTTAAAAAAATATAATTAAAAAATTATTTATTAAATAATAATTTATTAATCTGATAAATTAATTACAGCTTGTAAAATATAGTAATTTACTATTGAACTATTTATCAAAGTTATCATGTATTCAATCATTAATTTTTATAAATAATATTTTAACCATTTAAAATATTAAATCTCTTGTTAGTTAATATTAATTATAATATTTTTTAAAAATGTTAATTAATTATTTAATTTTTACTATAGTTTTCATCACAATATTCACGATTTACACGTTATTCACGTCATTCATAATCCCATACGTCATACCACTGGCCGTCGGAAACATAGGGCTAACGGCGCTCTGTATTAAACACTACTTCTCCATAAGC